TTTGGGAATGTTGGCTATTAGGCCCAAAACAATATTTTCTCACAATCAAGTCCCTAACTTACACTTAAATATTCCCAAAAATTTGGGATATTACATCGCCACTCATCCAAATTGTAAGGTAAAATATGTCACCTAAAAATAGATTTACGCAAAGATCAGGGTTTTAGGGGTATGGTTAGAAGTCAACGTGCATCTCAAAATCTTTTGTATAAACATGGTTGCATACTTTAACATTGGGGTTTTAACTCAACTTGAAAATAAAATGGACAAATTGTAACATTTGAAAACTTTTGGACTAGATTGGACAAGATTGAAAACCTGCATGCACAATTGCACTAAATTAAAAGTTAAGGGACTGATTTGATAAATTTAAAATTCTAAAGGACTGATTTGAAATTATTTGAAAGCTAATGAACCAAATTAAACAATCATGAAAGTTTTGGGTAAAATTAAAATAAAAGAAAGATAATTTTTACTTTTTAAAACTTTGAAATTCAACAATTTAAAATTAATTGATAATAATTAGCTTAATTAAATGGTTAATTTAGTATTAATTAAGATTAATTTAAATTAATTAATTACATTCATTAACTTCTAATCAAAATAATTAAACAACTTTAATTACTTTAATTAAAACAAATAAACATAATTAATTTACTCTAATTAAAATTAATTAATTTCATCAATCATACATTAAACTATTTACCATAATCCATTTATTATTTTTTTTATTATTTTGTATTCTTCTTTTCTTTATTTTATATTTTTTAGGGATTAATCCATTTTAGGTGGGTTGGTTTGCCCTAATCAGTGTTTTGAAAACTGATTTGGAGGTCATACCGTTTTGATCTTTGGTTCTCGATTTAACCAGTTTAACTAATTAAATTGTTCAAACTATCGGTTCAATTCAATATGAATAAATATAATATTGTGTAGTGATTTAATATATCAAGTGCAATAATTCTATTGGTTTGTCATTTCGCCCATTGTGGAGGAAACACAAGTTTGGGTATGGCCCATGTTAAAATGTAATTATAGTATTTCTAATCTCTTATTATATATTAATGGGTTTTTTCACATGTAAAATGTATAATACATGTAATTTTTTAATTAATTTATATAAAAAATTATAAAGATTGAATTTAAATTAATTAATTAACCAATTAAAATCATCTCGCCCATTGTGGAGGAAACACAAGTTTGGGTATGGCCCATGTTAAAATGTAATTATAGTATTTCTAATCTCTTATTATATATTAATGGGTTTTT